ATTCCTAAGGGTAAAGGCTCTCTCCACGCGCGCAGGGGGGGGGGGGTGCAAATCAAATCCTGCGACTTGCGGACACGAATGTTTGTCCAAAAATCTATCTCTCAAGAGATACGATTAATTTTTGTTTTCTTCCCGAAACGTTTAATTTTTTCCCAGCGGCAGAACACCTCGTTGGTCTTCTGATGGCAGAACCCCTCTGGGGTCTTCTGATTGGCCTCCGATCAGAACCCCTCCAGGGGTGTTCTGGTGGAGGTCTTCTGTCGCACTTCTGAAACGTTACAACAATTAATGCCCAACGTTGTTATCTTTTAATGCAGCGTTAAATGGACAGTTCATGGACGATTCAATGCCCAACGGACTGGTCATTGATGTCCAACGTTCAGGTCCATTAATTCACCATTTACACACAACAAATCCTCCTATATAAAGGCTGGCAGGTGGTTTGCAACAACACACGTTCTTACACGAACTCAGACACCCCATGCACGTTTTGCACCTCTAAAAACACACTGCTAGCATTCCGAAAATTTCCCCCGTGTTCATACTGTGTTCTCGTTCGCTGGAACTCTTGTTTGTGTGCTCAAACATTAGTTCGTAGTCATCATAATTACTGCCAAAGTATTCATAATCACGTATTTAGTCGTAAGGTAGTTTCCCAAAAAAGATACTCTGCATATATATTGATGTCAAAATCAATTCATTAGATCTCAAATTTCAACAATGATGTTATATAAACCTTTTCATTTATTACATTTTTATTACTACGTACTACATAATAAATACTGAATAAAATGAAAAGAAATGTAACGATTGTAGAGCCGCTTTTGAGATTGCGGCCTTCCCTCTAGTAGGGTTTGAGATTTCTGCCGTCTCTCGTGCGGCTCGGAGGATGGAGAGCGAAGGGATCAAGATCGGAGGCAGAGAGAACTGTGCCGTCTCTCGTGCGGCTTGGATGAGGGAGAGCGAAGGGATCAAGATCAGAGGCAGAGAGGAGGTTCTGCGAATGGCTCCGCTGGGACTGGTGACAGCGTCATCGTACGACGTCTTTCTTCGAAAAGGTCAGATCTCGAGCGACAATGGAAGATCAAGTAGAGAGGTCCCAAGGGTTCGACCCCCTCCTGAACCGCCGCCAGGGATTGTACAAGGTGCTAGAGTCCGCGACAGTCTTCCTTTTAGTTATTATTATTTTGCTTTTTGGTTTCCTGTTATCGTCTATGTCGTTAGTTTTGTCAGTCTGTTTGGGATTTCAGTCTTTTTTTATGTCATTGAGTATGTTTGGATCTATGGGAATATGGATGACTGTATCAAGCCCGTTACATGGTTAGCGATTCGTGTTGCTCTTTCAGGGGTGACCGTCTCTAAGTCTGATCATAGGGTTTACAGTCGTAGTGGTTGGAGTTTAGTTGGTGTCAGTGTTGTTTTCCCGTTGAATGATGTAACGATCCTGAAACTTATGATATGAAAGAAGGCTAGTTGGTGATAAAAAAAATGAAAAGAAATGTTAATCAAAGTTATCAAACAATGTTTCACACGATTTAATGGCCTTCATAATTAAAGGATCTAAAATACTTTTTCACATACTATTGTTTTGAGTACTATTAAATTAATTTAACATCATTTTGATTCAACTTCATATCTGTATCTCTTAATTTATCATAACTTTCGATCAGTGGCGGAGTCAGAGAATAATTTGAGCGGGTGCTCTTATACATAAATTTTTTTGCGAAACAATTTTTTTATTAGAATAAAGAAAAACTGGTAAATATATAGTAATCATTTTTTTTACAATAAAAAGATTTTTTCACGTGAATAGTGTAAACGAGTGCACAGATAGATTTTTTTTTTTTGCATTTTTCTACGATGACGGAAACTTTGATTGGTGTAGTAAGTTGTGACCCGTTTCTCATAAAATGTTTTGCATTATTGTCTGATTTTGAGAAATTAGATCCCAAGTTTAATTCACATGATTTATTCTTATTTTTCATGAGAATAACTCTTTTTTAAGGAAGAGAATTACTCTTTTTATTTGATCCAAAACTTGTATATATGCGTATATAGCCTGTCTCAAATAAATAATGCTATTATGCTAAGGAAAAAGTAAATAGGTATGTTTATTTAAAGTATGATGATAATTATTCTTGATAATTTACACATTAAATGATGTATGTTATTATTTGAAGAAGAAAGAAATGGTCAAAAACTCATTGATTTGTTTTCTTATTTTGAAATAATTAACAATTATGCTATAAATTTAATTTTAGGGCCATTGAACTAAAAAAAGAAAACTTGCATATGAATACGGGAAGAAAGAAAAAGTGACAAATAATTTGTATTGAAAAAATAAGAATGTAAAATACAAGATATAGAAATCTAAAGTGTGATTTAACCAATGTCTTATCCTAGAGTGATTCAATTTTAAAAAAATTAATAGAGAGTTATATGTCTAAAAATGCAACATAAAGAGTATGAGTCAAAATTAAAAGAAGTGTTAAAGCACATCTCCAAGATGGGAGTCCAAGTAAAATGCTAATTGCTAAATGCGCGGAGTAATGAAGAAGCATAAGTAATGAAGTCTAAAATAAAATTAAACACCAAAGGGGTTCGAACCCGCAACATATGAACATAGAATTCTACATTGCAGCACGGCTCCTAACCGGACTATCAGGACCATTGTGCACATTTTGCTTCCGGGGCTTTAATATATACAACTTTTAACCACCGGGGCTGATATATATACATACATATATATATATATATATATAGGAAATCTTTCCGGTAAGGTATACCTTACCGGAGCCGCCGTGCGACCTCCACGTTTTGAGGGCCTTCCCGGTGAAACTTTTCGATGAAATTTTTTGAGCATGTTCGTCATCAAGTCTAGTACATCCATACCAAATTTCAGCAAAAAATTCAATCGGGAAGGCAGCCAAACGATTTTTGGAAGATAACTGCGTTTTATATGTATATAAAGGGTGCAGTTATCTTCCGAAAATCATTTGACTGCCTTCCGGATTGATTTTTTTGTTGAAATTTGGTATGGATGTACTAGACTTGATGAAGAACTAGCTCAAAAAATTTCATCGAAAAATTCCACCGGGAAGGCCCTCAAAACGTGGAGGCCGCACGGAGGCTCTGGTAAGGTATACCTTACCGGAAGAGTTCCCTATATATATACATTACCACCACCGGGGAACGGGGGCGGCGGCACCGGCTCGCACCCCCTAGTTCTGCCACTGCTTTCGATCGTTATGATGGATTCAGGTGAACTCAAATCTATTACTATATAAAAGGAAAAGAATTTCGATGCATGTTCTTCCCGCCCAGAACTGTCCACTTCATGTGTTGATTTTTTAATTTCTTTAGGGGTTACATCCACGTAATGGAATGAAGTTATGGGTTCGGATAATATTGGTCGAGGCATGAGGTGGGCACAGTAACAAAAAGGAATTGAGGCTCCTATTGGTTAATTGAGGTGTGTACTATACATCAAATTTGTGACCCGATTTTGCATTGGTAGGAAGAGCACAGTAACAAAATGAATTGAGCCTCCTATTGGTTAATATTGAGGTGGGTACTGTACATCAACTTTGAGAACTAATTTTGCTGGCTGCCTTTGTATTGGTAGAAATGGGCGGGCAAACAGTGAAATGGTATGGGCAAGCAGTTTTTTCGCAAACCATTCGTACATGCTACCCTATAAAAGAACTGCTCCAGATTGCATTTTTCTCCATCGTTCTCAAGTTCCAGTCTGATATTCAATAGCAGTAAAACAAATTCTAAACATGGTTGGCATGTGGTAATTGTTTTGAGAAATGGACCAAAGCAAGACGACATGGGCCATAAAGGCCAGAGCCACCCGCGTTTACCGCGAATGTTCACGATGAAGAGGTCGTCAACTGTGTTTTGTATTCTTTCCCTTCTTTTACAATTTAATTTCATTATATTTAGCTCCATATTCGTTCCTACATAGGGAGCGAGGTTTTCTGTTTGATCGGGAGGTCAGCTACATCCTTAAAAGATCAGGTCTCTAAGGTAACATCCTTTTTTGGGTTGTTTATGAAATCATATAATCCTGTTATTAGCTCCAAACGACACTTGCACACTATTTAGGTAGAGGAACTTTGGTCCCCACTACTTCCCTGCTGAGATTAATGCCCTCATGGACATTAAAGCTCCATTTCGGGTATAGTACAAAAAGGAGGGTGGCAACTACCGGGGAAATCAAAACTTCAGTGTTCTGAGGATGAACACAGACCCAAGGGTGCTGTCACTCCATGTTTCTGTATCCAACACAGAGGTGAGTTCTATGGGTTTCAAGGTTGTGTTTTGACAGGTTGTATTGGTAGTATTTGACAGCTAGAAATGTAATTTTTCATATTTGCAATAGATGGGCTTCTAAGTAAAAATTACTACCTCTGTTCCAAAAAAATCTTCCCACTTACCTATTTCAGATGTTCCAAAAAATTCTTCTCATTTCCCCTTTTAGAAAGGTTTGTGTGACTATCATTTATTTACTTTTTTTTTTACTCAATTACAATCATACATTTTCACTTTATTCTCACTTTCTTAAACTCCGATCCAAATCAAATTGGGTAAATTTTCTCGAACGGGAAGAGTATTAAATTTTTTGTTACACATGGGCACAACAAATTAAAAAATAAATCATCTTTCATTAATATACCCATGATGTCTACTTCTGTAAAAAAGGGTTGAATAGACACTTCTGGGGCCGTTTGACAACACTGTTTTTTGACTTATCAGGCTTATCAGGCAACTTTTTTACCATACAAGTAACTTTTGATTTCGCACGCTGAATTATGTAATAAACAGAAAAAGTAAGGTTGAAGTTACTTTTATGGCTGTATTGGCCGAAGTTACTGTAGATGATCATTTTAGTTATTTTTACATTGATTTTTTCTTTATTTTATTAATACATATATTTTAAAAATAACTTTTTCTTAAATCAGTAGAATCAGCCAATGCAGGCACTTCAACCAGAACTTCATAAATTTTAGCAGAATCAGCCAAAACAGCCGATTTTCGTTCTACCAAACGGGCTCTACGTTAGTTTTGAACTATCAGTTAATCTTCGTGCGTTAATGTCAAAATCCTTCAAACAGATATAGATTTTACTATCAGCCAAGGCATTAAAGGAACAATTAATTTCCTTTAAAAAATTAATGCTTATCCAGTTCGATCTTAGTCACTTTTCCCAGATCTTATAGTTGCAATTGTTCAAAGCATCTTCCCGGAGTACGTTGAATCGACATAGAATTTAAGTTCTTTGCGTGATCGTGCAATTCTAGCCGGCACCCACACTGGCTGTTGTTGAGGTCGTAAATGAATATATGACATCACTCAATGTTGGTGAGATTTCGAGAACCTATCTTAATTCAGACAGCGTTTCAAAGTTCGATTGCACGACCGATTTGATGACCGAATTGCATACACCAGAATTCTTGAATAGCATCAAATTTTCTGGCGTACCAAATCATGAATTAACGTTAAAGGTAGGAACTCCTGTAATGCTTTTGTGGAATATAGATCATTCGATGGGATTATGCAACAGAACTCGCCTTATTCTAACGAGGTTGGGAGATCATATTTTGGAAGAAACAATTTTAACTGGTGTAAGTGCTGGCAAAAAAGTATTAATTCCAAGATTGTCTTTGACCCCTTCTGATTCAAGCTTGCCATTCAAGTTTCAGCGACGACAGTTTCCTATTATGACTTCATATGCTATGACTATAAATAAAAGTCAAGGTCAATCGTTGTCACGTGTAGGATTGTTGTTAAAAAAAACCGTCTTTACCCACAGACAATTGTATGTTGCAGTTTCAAGGGTTACAAATCGTCAGGGTCTGAAAATATTAATTTGTGATGAGGTCGGAAGCACCACAGATATGACTCAAAAAGTTGTTTTCAAGGAAGTGTTCAACAATGTGTAGAGTTACATTATAGTCATTTATGTAACGTTATTCTCTTTATCAATTTCTTTTGTACTTCCCAACGTTTTACGATACTTAATCCTCTATTTGAAATAATGATATAATATGTGCCCAACAGCTTTTATACAGATTTATCATATACTCCGTATCTTAAATTTTTTTTATCATATACTCCGTATCTTAAATTTGTCTTGAACATAAATCGTTTTTGCTACATCATATATGTTTTGGCGTAACAATTATGCCTATTTTATTGTTTCCACCAAACAATTAAAAAACAAATTATAAACCGTGCATCGCACGGGTGATATACTAGTTAGGTAAATAACACATTCATAAGCATTCGTTTGGTCATCATGTAACAACAAATTAAGTTTCCGTTGACAACCTAAAAATACTCCGTACGTATATTGTACGTACGCTGCACGGGCCCCACCAATTTGCCAAAGAAACATGCGTTCATTATTTATTACTCCCTCCGTCCCAAAATTATCTTCATAGTTACTATTCACATGGTCAACTCAAATTACTCTTAATCTTTTATTTTATATATCAAATTTTTATCAAACGTAAATTTTCTTGATCAGGCTTTGTAGCAGTTTTAATGTAGTTTCTGAATATGTAAATTTTATTTACTAAAAATAATCCGACTGTGAACAGGGATCAAGTTGCTTTATCGTCAGTCAAGCATCGTAAACCGAAATATGAAGATAAATATGGGACGGAGGTAGTAGATATTTGAAATTTTATTGAGGGGCATGCCCCACTGGGCCACCACACTGTGCATGCATCCACCCGTGCAATAAGTAGAGTGGGACCTTTCAAATGATTGAATTTCAATAAAAACTGGTACGGAATAGTGTATAAGCTCTATCTCATTAAGATGGTTTTACTTTTTTCATTTTAGTACATGTGATTAATATTGACCGATATCAGATTTGATAATGTTTAAATGTTTGTAAATCATTATTACCTTATTCAATTTTTACTTTAACAAATCAATATCAATTACACAAACTCATTTTTCAATAACTACACCATTTATTTAGGTATCAAACATAGGGGATGGTCCAGATGAGGATTTTTTTAACCCCAAGGGAGTCAGGGGCTGGGGGGGGGGAGCCTGAGGACTGAAACTTCCTCCATGGAATTTTGAACCTGTGACCTCCGAGTGGGGAGGTCGAGTCGGTGATCAGTTGAGTTGGACCGCTTCTTCAATTCTCGGACGGAGGTAGTAAAATCTAATACTGATCTGATTGTATTATAAACATGTTAATTACATTTTTAATTCTTAGAACTCTCCTCATTCATGTTTTAACGCTGCTGTGTTTTCATTCATCATAATCTTTATATTTAATGTGCATAAAAATAGTTTAGAACCGGAGCCTCATAAATTGGTCCGAAATTATATGGTACTACTGGTTGTATCATGCACACGGTACAATCAGGTATTTTAACTTATATCTAATGAGTATATAATTAAAATGGAATGAGTATTTGTATTAAATTATAAAATTAGTACATAAATAATTTTTATGATAATTTAGTTAAATGAATAAGTTGATTTGTAGCATATATATTACTTGTAAATCATGATACTCAATTGCACAATTCTAAAACTCAATTCTACTACCAATGTAGTGTGATTCAATACTCATGCTCATTTCTTTTTAAACTTTATACTCATACGTGTAATATAAAATACCCGATTGTATGGTGAACACCGTACAATCGGGTGTAGACTCTCAAACTGGTCTGACCCCGTACCGATATTTGGTCCACGGTGACCTGGAACTAAATAACCAGTTCTAAGACTGGAACTGGTCTACCCTTGGATATACATAATAAAATACATACACAATGAATTCAAACAAAATGTTATTCTGATCGTTCAAAAAATATAATTATATTTCCATCGAGGCCATTAATGTTTAGGTGAAGTAATAATCACGCTTTACTTATTCATTAACTCGCAAGGGTGAAGTGATACATGTTGTGAGTGTGTAAATCATTGTCTTATTATAGCATTTTTATATAGGAAAAAATGTAATAAATGGGTTTAGAATTTAACATACCCTGTTTTTACACATAGCATTATAGCATTTTTATATAAAAGACCCATCTTAAATATGTAAAATACATAACCAATTAAGATAAGAATCTACCAAAAATTAATTGTGAGACTAAATAAGCAAATATCTCAAAACACACTTGTTAGATTCTAAAACATACCTTTAGTCGTTACAAGGTCAGCATTATCATTTGGTTATCTAGTTTAATTTCTCTATCTTTAAAATAATTTTGAATGATATTAAATATTCTAAGGAGTATGACGCATGCATACTAGTAATTGTTATAAATGATAAAAACAATAAAAATAACATTAATAATTAGTGTAATTATTACTAATATTATTACAGCAATAATAATGATGATTAGTTTATATAACTCCGGTCCGTATATACGTATACTGTCTCGTTGAAACAAATTAAAATGGCGGAGGTTTGAGCTGAGTAGCGTATTCTTCTTTCTTTTCTCCGATATTTCTCAACGCCTATCCGTACGTATGCGTCCTGATTTTCGTAAATCCAGCAAAAAAACTCAACGCCTCCCTTCATCACCATGGCATTCTGAGCCCCTAATCCAAGGGAAAAGTAATCAAATAGCCTCTGGGCTTTTGTCTCTACGTTATTTAACTTCCAGCGAAGATCTCACTGTTTCAAAAACCCAAAAACGAAACAAATTTAAGAGCCACCTACCTGATTATGTCAATCTCAGGTTTTCAGGCCTTTTTTCGGTCGTTTCCCTCAATTTCCTCATCTCTTCTGAATAAATCCTGGCCTGGCTTCGTTTCTGTTCTTCAATCCGCTGAAAACCCATCATCTTCATGTTAATAGCACCAGCTTTGGTAGTGATAGTAGTAGTGGTAGTGAAATCCTTCTCTGTTATCTTCCTCTACCATTTCTATGTTTTTTCCTGATCTGTATCCTAACAATTCTGTCCGTGTAGAGACACAAGTGTGACAAACGTGTACACCAAGCATTTTTCAATTAACGTAACCTTAATAGAAAGAATGGCAACTTCTGCTAGCGGTGGCAGCGGTGGCTTGATTGACGACCAGAGATATGCGGGGGTGGATGAGAAGAAGAGGAAGCGGATGATATCGAACAAGGAGTCTGCGAGGCGGTCGAGGATGAGGAAGCAGCAGGTTTTGCTAGATTTGAACGAGCAGATTAGGGTTCTTCGGGAGTCAAACAAAGGTCTTCAAGATCAAATGAACAAGACGTGGGAGGACTGCATGAAAGTTGAGTCTGAGAACAATGTGATGCGGGCCCAGATCAAGGAGTTGACTGATCAGATCCAGTCGTTGACTGATTTAATCAAGGGTAACATGGGTAGCAAAGCTGGCATGGCGGCGGCCGGTAACAGCAACAACAAGAATGTGGCTGCTTTTAGTACTGAGGATCAGGCATGGGTGGAAAGCCTGCTTCTTTTTAATGATATCGATATTGATTTTCTTGTTCCTATTGACAATGGCATTAACGGTAGTGGAGATGGTAGCGGTGGTAGCAGTAGCGGTGGCGGTGGCGGTGGTAGCTGTAGGGGTGGCAGCGGTAACAGAGGTGGCGATGGCGGTGATAACATGTTGGTGGAGCCATGGATGAATGTGTCTCCCTTTGAGCCACCTTCTCCTACTTTCTTCCAATTTTGAGTACATCATTTCATTACTTCATCACTTTGCTAGCTAGGGTTTATGCTATTAAGGTGAGCAAAGATGGTCTTTCTTAGTTGTTTCATGTTGTATAATTTGCAAATAAGTTTAGTTTTTTGTGTGCTTTCTTCTGTAATAATATGTTGTGCAATGTACTATTATTGAGTTTGCATCCAAAGTTGATGAAGATGATGATGCATGAGTAATTTTTTTTTGATAAAAAGAAACCAAATTTTATTAAAAAGTCGATAGCAATACATGCGCTAATGATAAACTAAGTTAAAGACAACAAACTAAGCTAAATTAAAGATTAAGCTTTCAAGCACAATTGTGACCTAGTTTGCATAGAAGAAGCCTGAATAGCAAGTTTTTTCTTGTTACGCCGAGAAGTAACTAGAGTGAAAGAAAAATCTTCAGTGGCCACCATTAAATCATTTTGTTCAACTAAACCCGGAGAAGTCACCGGTGACGTAGATGAAGAAAAAGCAACACTCTGAACCGAAGTTTGAGGTTTCATCCTTTAGTCTATACTCATCTGATCTGCCTTGAATTGAGTGATAAGATCTTGGAGAGAAGGATATGGTAAATCCGGTATACCGAAATTTCGGTATTTTTCTCCACCCCTAGGTGTACCCTTGGATATACGTAATAAACAGGGTAAACATATATACACAAGGAATTCAAACAAAATGTTAATCTGGCCGTTCAAAAAATATAATTACATTTCCATTAGTGCATTACTATTTAGGTGAAGAAATAATCACGCTTTACTTGTTCATTAATTCACAAGGATGAAGTGATAATTATGCAAGATAACTGTGAGTGTGTAAATCCTTGTCTTATTATAACATTTTTATATAGAAGACCCATCTTAAATAAGTAAAATTACATAACCAATTATGAGCATAAGCAAAAATTAATTGATCATTTAAGTAATGCTCAAAATATAAAATGAAATATGAATAGGAATTAATTAATATTCAAGGAAGAAGATTAAAGAAAATAACTCACAACTTACAATTCATTAAGCTCCAAAGTAGCAAAACCAAGATAGAAGAGTTTAACTCCTCATTTGGAAATTAAACATGATGAAAATGTAAAGAAAAAAAAACTTATCTAGACTGAGCTTAGAAGTATATGTGAATTGGTCAATTTAATGGGAAGGAAATGAGGTGTATTTATAGGTGTTTGGAGCATGCAAGGATGTGTACCCGATCGAGCATATAGGGCACCCGATCGGGTACATACCTTCAGTAGCTTCCCAGAAGCTGGAATTGTGGGTCATACCCGACCGGGTACGTCGGTTACCCGATCGGGTATGACAAAGAATCATGTTCAAATATTTCCCTGCACGTTGCCTTGTTCCCGGATTTGATCCAATTTGAAATTTCAGCAAGGTACCCGATCGG